CCACTGGAACATCACGATTATTTTTTTATTGCTTAGATGTGTGGACGCCGGCGGGGTACCACCACCCTGCCTATTTTTGGCATGAAGCAGTAATACGTTTCGGGTTGAAGGGTGGGGCAGCCGTTGTAACTATACTGAGACCTTAGGACTGATATCTCAAGGTGGGTGGCGCATTTACGTCGTAAATGCCTATGGGCTCCAGTAACCACTTAACACCAGGTAGGATGTGAGCTCGTCCACGCATATAAGCAATAAAAAAGATCACTGAGTAGTCTGAGGTCAGTTTTAGAGTTGTGGTCCTACCGATGTTTTTAATGTTGAGGTTATTGCGAGAGACCCGCGTGAGGGTAATAATAACGTAGAAACTTTTATGTGATCGTTCCAGTTTGGAGCATTACCTAGATAGTTATGTACTCACAGTGCGGTCCGAGAGGGCGCGTGTGGCGTCCCTCCCCGGCGGAGTCCCCGCTGCCGTCCTCGCCGCCCTCCTCTACGCGCTCCAAGGACACACGCGGCGTCACCTCCGGGTCGCATCTACATCACAAAGTAGAATTACGTCTCTGCCTGGCCACCGGGCACTGAACTGGCTACTTATCGCAAAAACAAAAACTAGCGGAGCAGAAGAGCTCGAGGTTCAATTGAGCTTCAGTGGCTGCTAGAGCTTATTACTGGTAGTTGGACGTCTTGTGAGCCTTCACGGGTAGGTACCACCACTTCGCCTATTTCTGCCGTGAAGCAATGATGCGTTTCGGTTTGAAGGGTGGGGCAACCGTTTTAACTATACGTTGTAAATATAGAACTCATATCTCAAGGTGGGTAGCGGCATTTACATTGTAGATGTCTATGGGCTCCGGTAACTACTTAATACCAGGTGGGCTTTGAACCCGTCTACCCATGTATGCAATAAAAAAAATAAAAAAGAGTAAGTTAAGTTAATTATTGTAATGTTGTAATATTGTAATTAATAATTGTAATGTTTGATGGAAACAACAATAACTCGATAAAATTACCTGAGAAAGGCTTTTAAATTAACCAGCACTTTATTATTAGGGCAGGGGTCCCGGTCTGCGAGCTGCGCCAAAAGCGTCACCAGTGTCTTCGCCGAATTCGCCTGAAGTTCCTCACACCATTCCTTCTTAATGCTCTCCATGAGCGGCCTCACCACTGGGTTCAGTTTCTCTGGCAGGCAATGGAGATTCGCACAGGCTCCCGCTATGGCAGCTTGAACCCTGCGAAACGTTTTTATGAGTATATTTTGTTCATCGAACTCATCATATGAAAATTAGCTGACCCGCAGGATCCAAGGTTCAAATGTAAGAATTTACGTTATGTGATATTTTACAATATTAAAATTTCAAACTTCTCATTTTAATTACAATAATGTAATACTTAAGCTATAATATAATATAACTATACTAATATCATAAAGAGGAAAGATTTGTTTGTTTGTTTCTATTGAATAGGCTCGGAAGCTACGGAACTGACTTGAAAAATTCTTTCACTGTTTGGAAGCTACCTTTCCCCGAGTAACATAGGCTATAGCCTTTTTAAAAAAAATTTGGGATCCTTACTAAAATCCAATAATGTAACGAAAATTAAAAAAAATAAAATAAAAAAATTGATAAAAACAAATTTTATTGAAATGAAAATAAAAGTTCATTAAAATAATAAAAATTATTTAAACTGACGCAAATATAAGGGTTAATGTGTGTGTGTATTATAATTTTTTATTTTGAAATTTTTGTTAAAGACCCGAGCGAAGCCGCAGCGGGCCGCTAGTAGTTGGTAAGGTTAATTAATTTCCGATCAACGTTCGGGTGTTGGTCTCCTTCAATTTCGTGTTTTTTATCTTGATTCATAGAGTAATACCGTTTAACTTTGTCAACGAATACTGTTCGTATTAATTTTCAAGTGTAATGTGTTGATCTGCGGTGGTCGGGTACGTACGCTACGGCGAGCGCGGCGTGCATGGCGTGCGTGTGCGCGGCGGCGGCCCGCAGCGCGCGGCGGCGCTCGTCCAGCGCGGGCGCGGCTCGCTTGGGCTTCATGCGGCTCACCATGCCCTGCGCGGCGCCCGTCAGCTGCACCACCTGCCGCACGCACGCACCCTACTCATTAACTACTTACACCAAAACAAATATAACTGTACTCTGTACTAGTACCGGACCGCACTACGCTTTGAGCTGTAGTTACGCGCGCGTACATAAATAAAACTTTGGTGAATCAAAAATTAAAAGCTATTCAACACTTAAGGAACACTTAATTCGCAATTCACTTCTTCCGCTTCGATATGAGTTTACGCTATTTGATAATAGACGGCGTATTCGATATTACTATAATAGTCCTTTTGATATTTGTTTCTGCTATTTGATGACAGATGGTATTACTCTTACCGGCGTAACAACATTAAGTCGTTTAAGACACAAAGAGATATGCTTATTTAAAATTAAACGAATGACAGTAGTAATTTGGGATGTACCTGTTCCAATCGCACAATGTTGTTGAACTCCTCACCGTCAACTGGTAACTTGTAATGTTTCAAGGTCGCCAAAAAGTCTCTTGCCTCTTGGAGTATCCTATAAGCAACGCGATAAAATTATTATGAATCTCAATATTTATTCATCTTATTTTGTAATTAAAACAGAACTTGTCATAAATATAATCCAGATAGGGACTTAATTCTGTATAGAATTTCTTTTATTTGCTGCATGAAAAATACTAACTAAAAAACGAAAAATAAGCTCTTTAATATAAATTAAATGGCAGTAGAGAGAGAGAGAGAGAGAGAGCGAGTATTCTTTATTGTACACCAAAAAACAAATAAACAGTGCGATACATTAAAAACAAAAAGTACAATTGGCGGTCTTATCGCTAAAAGCGATCTCTTCCAGACAACCATCAGGTGGACAAGAATCATTTGGAAACGAACTACGCGCGGTGTACCATTCCAGTGAAATACATATACATATATGTACACATACATATACACATACATATCTCCGTAAATATACATACAATTAATACAAAGTATTACAGTTACATTACAGGCAGTAAGGTATTTCCAGCGCTGACTTTTTATTGTGGTTACGTTTTTCGTGACACCAATAATACATTCAAGTCCTAGGTCGGTTACGCGCAGGATGCTCGTGTCGGAGCAGCGTCTACTCGCCTGTTGCAGTTGAGAGCCACCTCATCATAGTACAGTGCCTGGTTGAGCGCCGTGTGCAGGGTGGACACCAGCGACGCCGGGGCCAGCTTTGTTATGTCGTTCGTTTCATGATTTTCATCTTTCTCTTCATCCTGGAACGCATTAATGTTTGTCGTTAGGGACTTTTAGTTGGAGTCGAGTAGACGGCTGCGAGCGGTGGCGTACCGGGTGTGCGGGGCGGGGGGCGGGCGGCGGGTAGAGGCCGCGGCGCCGCGTGTGGCGCGCCCAGGCCGACACCACGAGGCTGGCCACCAGGCGCTGCAGGGCGCTGCCCGAGCGGAGGTACACCACCATCACCTGGAAACGTCATTACCATCTTAGGTTCGAATTGAATTCGTGTCGACTGTTCATCGTTTCATACTGTAATGTTTTGATTTCTTAGAGGTCCGTTAATAAAAATCCCCAAAAACAATACAACAATATGAAATCACTCAAAGGAAACATTTTGAAAGTTAATGCGGCCGAGTATTTCTTCCTATTTGTTTAAGATGAAATTGATAACCCGGACAGAAAGTGGGAGTTAATATTATTATGATGATGATGTCTGCATGGTGTCTGCACATTACATTGTCTATGGAATCCAGTAACCGCTCGACATACAGTTTAGACCGTAATAATTTACTTATTAATGAAAGTTATTAATAGCAAGCTAACGCTAGCTATTTACATTAATAAGGAAAAAGGTTAAATGATATTATAAACTTTGGACAGGTTCAAATCTAACGTCGAAGGATATTCTAATACCGATGCACGCGCAGTACGCACCTTCACGTAGCAATCGATGGGGCTCTCTTCTTCCGCCGTGTAGTCGATGCCGGGCGCGGGTTGCACCAGGTAGCACGACAGGTGCCCTGATGACCGGACACACATACCATGAATTTTTTATATTAAAGCTTTTTATTTTATTATTATAACCCACTGAGTTTCTCGCCGGATCTTCACAGTGGATCGCGTTTTCTATCCAGGGGTAGGGTTCATGTTAACAACAACTTCAGGTTTGAGCCCCATGAGCTCACCTGGTGACGCTGATATGGTCTCTCAAGATTATCAGCTTAGGCAGAAAAAAAAATTGCTTAGATGAGTGGACGAACTCACCGCCCATCTGATGTTAATTGATGGTTAAAGAGACAAGACTTTTAGTTTTACAGTACAACGCCTGCTCCACCGTTGAAACTGGAACTCATAACTGCTTCGCGGAAGAAATAGGCGTGGTGGTGCTGCAAGTGAGCTCACGGGGTCACGTGCCTCCGGTCGAGTCTACAAGTTTTTTTTATGATTGAAGGATTACGGGTGGCTCGAAGGTCTTTCCAGTTTCACTAGGACAGGTGGACGAGCAAAGGCTCAGCCAGGAGGTGTGGGATTTGCTAACAGCTGCCTGAGCGCCTCCGAAGGAGACCTAACAACTCAAGAGCAACTGCTTCGCGAATGAATCTACAACCGGATCGGAATCGCGACCCGCATAAGAAGATCCGGCGAGAAACTCAGCGGGCTGATGCATGGGTTAGGTTGCACGTTGACGCGTACGATTACCGGGGTCCCTAAGGCTGCTCCTAGTAAGTGTACAGGTACGGAGCAAGTAGAGTGCGCAAGTACCCAGTATGTCGGCGGCGAGACAGCGCGCCCGCGACACGTTCTTGTCCCGCGCGGCGCTGGCCTGCGTGTCGGCGCCGCCCACGTACCAGCGCTGCGCCGCGCGGACCTCGCCCGGGACCGCCTCCGCCGGGCTCGTGCGCGTGCGCCGCTCCTGCGCCGACACAACGCAACATTACGTCCGCAAAATTTTAAAAATGCTCCAATATTGTTAATTACGTGTTTTGCGGAATTACTTATTTTTAGGGATTTTATGACCTGGTCACTAAAACCTTTAAGTCATTTCTTATTTTAATTTATATTCTTTTTTTTTTAAAAAAATGATAATATGGAGTGAAATGAAATGTAATGAAGATGATTGATTTGAAATATTAATCAACAAAAAGTCTTTTCTGCGGAATTACTGAATCCATCAATATGATTATATTATGGACAAACTATACAAATTTAGAATAATTTAAAAAAGGACAAAATATTTGTTTTTTTGTAGGTTATTCTCCTATAAAAATATGTATTAAGTAATGTGTTCTTACGTACAGCAAATTCGTGACCAAAAAATATGAGTATCAATTAATATTTGTGGTATAAACACTGGTAGTAAAGACAGTCCAGATAGAACAGAGACTAAACCACGCATGACGAAACTTACCAACTTCTATTAATTTTTTTTATGATTTATAGTCTACTGATGGCCCTGAAGCCTTTCCAATTTCGCAAGGACAGGTGGGCGAGCAAGAGATCAGCCAAAAGGGGCGGATTTGCTAACAGTTACCCGACACCTCCAAAAGAGACCCAACAACTCAAGAGTAGCTGCTTCGCAAATACGACTACAGAATTTGCTGAATATTATGGAGATCACACCCCCGACCGTAGTGATAATAAATGCATATCATTCAAGAGGTCACATCTCGCAGTGAGGAAAAATCCAATCGCTTACTTTTGCATCAAATGAAGAGGTTTGTGTACCTTGAGCGGCGGCACGAGTATGAGCGCCGGGTCCACGGCCAGGCGCGCGGGCTGCATGGCCAGGCACAGCCACGTGGACAGCATGGGGCACGCCGCCACCAGGATCACGCCCAGGCACGCGTGACGGATCAGGTTCTCCCACACCTGCACATCAACCGACAGAAACGATAAGAACAACTAACAGAGTACGTACATATTGCATGCCTATATGTGTGTGTATTTGAGAATGTATGCTAACAACGATCGACACGACGTCACACACGTAACTATACTGAGTATACTGTATATAGTAACTATACTGAGACCTTAGAACTGATATCTCAAGGTGGGTGGCGCATTTACGTTGTAGATATCTATGGGCTTCAGTAATCACTTAGCACCAGGTGGGCTGTGAGCTCATTCACCTAAAAAACAGAGATATATCAGTCGCTGTTCAGAGGGTAGTTTTACAATGGTACTATACACCCAAACAAATAAACAGTGAAGACAACTTTCAGAGGTAGTAACGAGAAGTAAGAAAGGGGGGTCAGGAGGAGAATGAAGTGGGAAAAAAGAAAGAAGGGCGAAGGAATGAAATATTTAATGGGAAAGTAATCCGAGTCGAGGTAGAGGCGAACTCACTTGCACTGCAATTTCTTGTATTTCATAGATGTGTTCGAACAACACTCTCTGGTAGACGTGTCTCATTGCTTCCTGCAACAGCTCCGGGGTCCACATCAAGTACTGTTCATCCAGCCCGTTCGGTTGGTCCTCACTGGGCGCGGCGTTGTCGGGCGGCGGGCTGTGGGCGGTGTCGGCGCGCGGTGCGGCTGTAGTGACCAGGGGCCGCGTCAGGGTGCGGAGAGTCTGTAGCGTGGCTTTGCGCACCGATGAGGTCGCGTGGTCTAAATACGGCCACAGACGAGGTAGCACGTCTGCCAAATCGATCGGGCTGTGGAAAAAATATCATATTTAGTTTCCTGTGATCTGCTCTTACTAGGGTCAGTGTTAGCAACACTCCGGTTCGAGCGCCGTGAGCTCACCTACTAGTTAAGGTTACGCTGAAATAGCCTTTCAAGGCTATCAGATTAGGTAGAAAAAAAGTAAAGCTTTTATACTATACTTTATAGATTCGTTATGGGTTTCGGGATAATAGAAACACTGCAAGTCCTTTTGATTCTGTATTGAAACACAATTACCTCTGGATTAAAAATTAATTACCCTGGATTGATTTTATAACTAACTAAATAGCTTATAAAAATATATATCAACTGTAGAAAAATGACATCGAAATTCTATCTTTCGGAAGAAGAGAATTACGAATTGTAAGATGCTCTGTAAGTGTTCTAGGTGTTAATACAGTTTTAATACATATATACTTCGGTGGAAGTTTTATTTATCCCGAACCACAACGCGTAAAAATACTGTGCTTTCTAGGAATGCCTGATTCAACGTTATAATGTCTGCTTCAGTTTACTTCAAAACCTAGCTGAATGGTGCCGGAATAAAATAAAAAGGTAACTGACTGCAGCAGTCGCGCCGGCTCCGGCAGCGCCATGAGCGCCGCCAGCAGCGCCATGTAGGAGTGCGCGGGCGCGGCGAGGTCGTCCTGGTCCCGCAGCAGGCCCCACAGGCGCTGCACCAGGCGCGCGGCGGCGTGCGGGCGGGCGGACACCAGCGCGCCCGCCGCCGGCACCAGCGCGCCCGCCGCCACGCCCGACACGTCCTCGGCGCCGTCCTCCAGCCCCGACATCAGGTGCTCCAGGGCGCCGCTGCTGCACGCCACCTCCTGCAGACCACCCAGCATGCTGCTCATTTGACTGCACCGTAGGTCACTGTTGCCCTACGTGGCGCACTCAAGTAATTATATCGATTTCTGTTACGGAGCGCCCGGATTGCCTAACTTAGCCTTCTTTTGTTTTTAATGTACATAATATTGGTTAGACTTTTAGGTGTCTTAGAAATAAATTCATTCTCAGTATGTTCGGATATTACTTCAGTGCGCCACGTAGAGCACCGGTGACCTACGTCTCGGTTAACGTGTTAAGGGTGAAATTGTCGTTGTACAATACAAATGCGATTTCGACCTGATTTCCCAAAGCGGACAGCTCCATTCACATCATGATATCTGTGGGCTGGTAACTTGCACAGTGACGTATGGAAGAACTCCATAAGTAGAAAATTCTGTTTTTTTTCTTCTTTTTTTATGCCCTTGTAGGCAGACGAGCATACAGCTCTCACCTGATAGTGAATAGTTACCGTCGCCCATGGACTTCAGCAATGCCAGGGGCAGAGCCAAGCCGCTGCCTACGTACATCTACCCTAGTAGTAGTAGTGTCGACCCCTGACCTGCCTGGCTGCCAGCATGTACTTGAAGCCGAGCAGGGCGCCGTGGCGGGCCTCCCACTGCGCCTGCGCGGCCAGCGAGGACAGCAGGCCCGCCACCTTGCGCACGCGGGCCTCGTCCAGCTGCGCCAGCGCCACGCCCAGCGTCTGGGCGCACGTTTCCCTCACTGGAGCCACCACCTGAGAATTACCATAATTATATTATGATATTAATAAGGTATAACTTTCATTACCACCCACGCACTTCAGAAACAAATTAACTTTTGGAAACAAGGAGTTATGGGCTATCCTTGCAATTCCAAAATGACATAATCGAAAACGATCGCAAATTTGAGAAGGTGGTTTGTTTTTGTAACATTTATCACCAGACAGAACAAACATTATGCGACCATGTCATTGCATTTAAAACTGTATTCTTTTAACGGTAAACGTAAAATTGCATGTCAGAAACCATAAACTTATTGGGTGGTTTAAAAATTTATGATTTCAACAGCCACACTTCGAATAAATATCTCAAGCTAACTACATGTAGGCTTGTTTGTTGTATTTTATACATCCACTTCTCATTTGTTCGATAAAGTTTTTTCAGGTTTAGGTTTCCGGCATAGCATTAGGGTGCAACAGGCGGCAAAAGGGTGTATTTCATGAATTAAACAGGTCATAGCAAAGCGTAACCAGACATACTGGTCTTGAAAACAGTTACCTGATCAGAAACAAAGTCTCCGAAGCGGTCCAGCGCCAGTACGCACAGTAACCTCAAGGCCATGTCTTCTAGCCAATCTTGATGCGCACACTCCATCTACAAACACGAAATATTAATAAATATGATTTAATCAGTATACGAAATGAAAGACAAAACAGTTCAGTACCGTTTTCTCTTTTGTTTATGAACTCATTTTTTTAAGCTATTGCATAGCTTTTATCGCGGGCCTTGAGCGCGGCCACCGAATCGTGAAATTCCGTAACGCAAAAAACCTTACACCCCTTACTCCGCCTACCATGTAGCTCGCGTTCAACACATTCACACGTTGCGCTTGTGTAGTGTTTGTGAATAAGCGCGTGACGTGACGTCATACTGCATGCGCATCATGAAAAGTCTGCCCATCTCTCTCTCTCGCGCGGTCTAGCTTATGAGTCTGAAGGGGATAGTTAGGGTTTTGCTTTTATTAATATTTAATATAGCGTAGTCTTGTTTTATTATTGTTTTAATATTAAATTATCATTGTCTAATTATAATTGCATAAGTTGATAAAAAATATGATGCAATAGCTTTACCGCGGCAGTTCCCGAGTGCCACACATTTTTTATTAGTCAGCTACTACGCTTCGGTGTGACCAATAAAAATATTTGGAAACCGATAGTTTTAATCCATGAAAAAATGACAATTTAAAAGAATAAAAGAGAAAATCTAATTTATAAATTGAGTAAAGATCTTGATGCGTCAGTGATTTACGGTCGAATTTGTTAATGTTCGAATGACGGCATCACCCAATCGCATGGACTTCAACTAAAACTGCTTTTGTTATTTTTGTATGAATTATTTAAATGTCTGCAGTAATTTCTGATTGTTTTGAGAATTTGAATGGCTAAAGAACGTTAATGATAAGTCTCGCAATCTGAAGAGACTATTATTTGAGTTTTCCTCAAACTGCCTCTACTTCTTTATTAACTATTCAGAATGTTAGTATGCTCACGCTATCCTTCAATCCTGATTGATTACACGGGAAGTTATCCTTTTTTATGATTGAAGGATTACTGGTGGCCCGGAGGCCTTTCCAGTTTCACCAGGAGGGGTGGGCGAGCAAAGGCTCAGCCAGGTGGGGTGGGATTTGCTAGCAGCTGCCTGAGCGCCTCCGAAGCAGACCTAACAACTCAAGAGCAACTGCTTCGCGAATGAATCTACTACAGAATCAGAATCGCGACCCGCTGAGAAGATCCGGCGAGAAACTCAGCGAGCTGATTCATGGGTTAGGTTGCACGGCGAACTCTTTGTCGAGTTCGACGAGTATGGTTACCGGGAGGAAGTTACCCATCATGAGCTACAGTTCCTTTGATAAGAAAACTCACGTGTTGAGGCTCGGTGTAGCGAGTGATCCCGGCAGTGTTGGCTATCTTGGCTCGTAGTAGTTCTCTGAGTGCACTGGCGGCTCCGTGGCGAGCCTCCCAGTGAGGGCTGAACAGCTGCGTCAGTAGCGCGCTGCACCACGCCTCCAGGGGCCACCGAGCCGCCTCCCCCTGCCAGCCGGCGGCGCACGGCACTGCGGCTCCTGCCTCCACTACCGACAGCACCGAAAATTACATCGTATTCAAAAATATTGCACTTGTCGCGTAAAAGGTGGTGGTAGGACGTTTCGTGAACACACACAGATAAATACCACTATACCTATCTCTGTCGCACTGATGTGTTCCCGCTTCTCTTGATAATGGTTACTGCACTCTTGTGCAGTAACCATTATACTATAAAGTTACATACAATGATGTCTATGGGCTCCGGTAACTACTTAACAGCAAATTGACCGTGATATCTTCACGTCTACACAATAATAATGTTACGCCGATAAGAGTAACGCCATCTACCGCCGAATAGTTGAACGAATATCGAAGGATCTAGTAGCACCTAGAACGCTCAAGAAGTACAACGCCATCTATTGTCACATAGCGGAAACACAATACTAGAGATGTGTGGAATATTCTCGATAATTCTAGGGATGTGGTATCGGCTATAAAAGCGTTGCAGAGATGGCACGCAGCAGTTAGTAATACCTATAGCCGATAACCTGAAGCGAAGCGGAAGAAGCGAATTGAGAGTTTTAAAGTGTTTGTTGAGTGTTTTAAGTGTTCTAAGTGTTGAATACAGTTTTTAGTTGTAATTCGGTAGAATTTTATTTATCCCGAACCCCAGCGCGTAACAAAACAAAACAAACAGCGCGTAACAAAACAAAACAAATAGTGGTAAGATAATATTATATATTGAGCGGGAGTCGATTTCAAATGAAGATGCTAAACATGTTACAAAATTCCAGGAATAGGTAGTATTCGAAATCGTATCGAAATCCAATATTGTTTGTAATGGAGACAAAAAATTATTGCTTTTGCGATATTGAATCATAATTTCATGTCAGCATGACAATGTTACAAGTCACAATAGAGCTAAGGCTGTAAAGCTATAAAACAGAATGAGTCCAAAATCCAGATTAGGTAAGCATTCGCAACAATAAGCCACTGGACGCAAATAGCAAAATCATTTAAAAGTTGATCATGTAATCTATATTTTTGTAAAATGATGGTGATCAATCTAGATTTTAAATCCCTGAATAAAATATAATAATTCTACACTTGACTTATTTTTTAATACCAGTCACATTGAATGATATCTTATGTGCCTAATTATTGTGCTATAGTACGAGTATATATTCTGTGGTTAGTTTGTCGCTTAAACTGACCACAAATGACGTCACCCGTATCAATTTACTTAAGCCGCGCATTGAAATTAATGAAACAATATTAGAAAGAAAAAAAACAAAAAAACAATAACTGTGTGGTTCTCTCTATAGATTTTGATGGCGTCATCTATGACTATGAAGTAATATTTTAAAAATAAGGAAAATCAACATCGTATTCAAAGTAAAATTTATTTAAAAGGATTACCATTCAATGATTTGTTTTGCTAAATGTTTCTTCTACTTACGAAAAAAATCTTCAGTCTGTTCTAATTTCATTTTCTTCTTCTCGGGTTCTATCGGGGGCGTAGGAGGAGCTGAGGTAGACTCCTCGGTGCAGTCTCTAGATTTCTGTTTGCTGAGAGCGGCACGAGCTCGTCTCTTCGCCAAATTCTTTTCCCGTGAACTGAGCGGTTTCGAAGAAATAGGGACTAGTTCTTGTACCGGCATCTATTGGACATTTAAAGGAATCTTAACGCTTTTTTGCCGCTGATGCGATATCAATATAAACTGGATCAATGGTTTAGAGTATTTTCTACAGTATTTTCTTCAATCTTCGTGAGTTTTAGACATAATTAAAAATTATTTTTCCAGTTTAATATCAATTTGAGGGTAGTTAGTGCAATATTCAAATGTCTTAAGAGCATACAATATTCGAAACTAAATAATAAATATAAAAATAGTTTTAATTAGATTAAGGACGTTTTTATTGATATTAAGGCAGCCTACTGGACGGTGATTGGTAAACACTGCTTATGGCCGTCAGCGGGCCAGGAGAACAGACCTGGGACCTCTGGGACTTAGGGCGGTTTCACACCACGTTTGAGAAAGGACATATTGTAGCGGTGGTGATCATCTCTAATAGATAGGGATCGACTGACATATCGTAACCACCATGGTTCCTCGACTTCTACAGAGTTTTCTGCCACCTTGTAGACGGGCGTCCCATACTTCGCTTATTTTAGTGTACTCTCCATTCTAATACCTTCCTACCCGACTGTCAGTTTCAGACTAGAAGCGTGATGAAAGTGAAGAGCTTACTAATAGCAAAAACTTTGTACCCCTTTTTACGAAAATTGCGCGGACGGAGGATTATGAAATTTTCTTAAATTATGCATAAAAATACATTATATCGATAAAAAAAACATTACATACACTACCATGTATTTGACACACACACGCATGCATAGTATTTGTTTATTGTCAAACTTTTCTTATTGCTTATAGTCTCTGGTCAAATTGAGAATAGACTAAATATTGTTTGTCTTTATTAATATTTGTGTCAAGTGTAGTCTTGGCGAAATCCGTGATTGTAGAAGTATAAGTCTTTGAAATGAATTGATGAAGAAACAGAAATACTGATTTGGCTTAAAGGACTTTGTTTTCAAGCCGGTAAAATTTATTAAGAAAAAAAAATTGTGTTTGACAATAGAATTAGAATAGTGTACAAACATATAATTTCAATTAATTATAGTTGAATTTCGACTACCTAGAGACCACTGGTTTATTTTAGTACACAACTTACTCTCTGCGGTTCAGCCTTGTTTGTTTGCGGTCTGACCGGGCAAAGGTCCTCGTTCGTGTATATGGAGGTCAAGTCGACGCCGAGATTGGCCGCAACGTCCAGACCTAGACGAGTGTTTAACTGCTGCCGTTGCTTCGCCATACGCTCCTTTGCGTCTGTACGAACAGAGCACATTTTTTTCTAACAATTATGTATGTTAAATCTATTTATAATACATTTTAACAGAAATTTACCGTATCCACAATTTTTTAAATATTATTATTAAACTGGTACTCCTTTTTAATTCCACAACATCGTATACAATTTAATGTCTTTCCTGCTCGTCAGAACCTTAACTGTGAGACAGAGTCGGATTCAAGTACTCGTGATTCAACATTGCGATTCGTCTCAACTCTCCATCAAGACATTGCAATCGCCCTACTACTCTTATAATTACAAATTAAAGAAAATAAATATAATATAATTGAATAATTAATCTTTCATATTTTTTTATTGCCCTTGTAGGCAGACGAGCATACGGACCACCTGATGGTGAATGGTTACCGTCGCCCATGGACTTCAGCAATGCCAGGGGCAGAACCAAACCGCTGCCTACCGTTGATGCTGGCCTAATAATAAATCTTATTAAACCAAACAATAATTTAGGGATCGATATCTTATGGCAGATCCCTTTCGTTGCGATACCGTTTGACAATTAGATCCACGATATTCTCGTTAAATCATACTATGAATAATTTTAATTTAACATCCCCTATATTTTAACTGCAAATGTGTTGTTCAGTAACGCTACTCCGACGGAGTACACTGCGAAAGGATTCGTAGTAATAAAACGTATTATCTATACAAATAAATAAAATTTAAGTGTCTGTTTGTAATATTAAAATAACCACCTTTTCTAATACATGAATATGAATGTATATACGACACATATACCAAAATTACATTTTCTATAATTTTTATCAGTCTGTCAGTTTGTTCTGGTTAATCTCTGGAACGGCTGGACCGATTTCGAAGGGACTTTCACTGGCAGATAGCTGGTATAACAGTGAGTAACTTAGGTTATTTCTATTTTGTTAAATTCGATGTGGACGAATTCGCGGGCACAGCTAGTAAATAATACTTTTTTACTGGTGGTGGTACTCTTGTGAGTTCGCACGGGTAGGTACCACCGCCTTGCCTGTTTCTGCCGTGAAGGAGTAATTAATGCGTTTCGGTTTGAAGGGTGGGGCAGCCGTTGTAACTATACTGAGACCTTAGAACTTATATCTTAAGGTGGGTGACGCATTTACGTTGTAGATTTCTATGGGCTCCAATAACAATTTAACACCAGGTGGGCTGTGAGCTCGTCCACCCATTTAAGCAATAAAAATAATAATAATAATAATAATAATACTGACCTGCTGTGGAGAGCGTGAAGTCATTCTCGTCAAAATCATATTCGTTTCCCTCGGAACCCATCAAGTGCGCTCCGTTCTGAAGGACCCGCTCTATGTTGAACGTGTCACATTTCAACAGTCCGTAATCTTCCGGGTCTGGTTTAATCTCTGTAAAAAAAAGAATATGTACATACTTACTTTCCGAAAGCAATTAATTAAAGTGATATGAATCATTGTTACGAGATAATGATCTTGGATCTAAAAAAATATTAAGTGTCAAATTTTTTATTACAATCGTTTTAAAACGTAGGTAAGTTTACAGTGAAGTAAAAATACAAAAATTATATATTTGAAAACTAAACATCATATTATTATATTTCGAAAACGCCTTATCAGGAATGAAATGGTATATCATTTTAAACATATTATGTAAGCGAATTTGTATTTTTATTGGTTTGTCTGTAACAAAACCATAGCATACTTTAGGCATACACCATACTTTTTATCATATAATTGTTTATGTATTATATTATTTAAGAAACGTCAATTTATTGTAAGAGAAATTATGAAACACCCTCACAGACATCAAAATAAATTTTCAATCGGTACATCATTTGTTTTAATAGTTTTCAGTCAAAAAAAAACCGAGAAAAAATAATAATACATAAAAAAAAATTGTTGGCTCTGTGTTAAATACGTTGTCGGCTCTTTTATTAGATTGAATTGAAACTATGAGTAGACGACGACTTAGCTATGCACCTGGCATTGTTAATATCCAAAAGCATCAATGTGAACATTCACCATAATTGGTTTGCATGCTCGTTTGCCTTCGAAGACAATGTTTTATTTTTATTTTTCATTTATTGCTTAAATAGGTGGACGAGCTCACAGCCCACCTGGTGTTAAGTGGTTACTGGAGCCCATAGACATCTACAACGTAAATGCGCCACTCACCTTGAGATATAAGTTGTAAGGTCTCAAGTATAATTACAACGGCTACCAGACCCTTCAAACCGAAACGCATTACTGCTTCACGGCTGAAATAGGCAGGGTGGTGGTACCTACCCGTGCAGACTCACAAGAGGTCCTACCACCAGTGAAAAATGCATGAATAAAAACATATACCGACCTACACAATACACGGTGCGAGTGAATTCAACAGAGCGATAAATACTATTTTATAAACATAGTTAGATTTAGTAACTGCAGCGAAGCATCATCCGGCTTTACTGGCCAATAATAAAATACATTTAAAATAGTAAATATATACGTTTCTCATTCAATAGCTTCACTTTATGTACTCGTTTATGTAATGACTAAATAGTATTATCGGACGGAAATCCGGTCCGTGTTTTGTGACCTCTCCGTTTTCCTGTTGTACATTAGTTATTATGATAAACAAAATCTAAAATTTCACATCCATGTTTATGGTTTTTTTTTATTGCTTTGATGGATGGACGAGCTCACAGCCCACCTGGCGTTAAGTGGTTACTGGAGCCCATAGACGTCTACAACGTAAATGCGCCACCCACCTCGAGATACAAGTTCTAAGGTCTCAGTATAGTTACAACGGCTACCCCACCCTTCGAACCGAAACGCATTACTGCTTCACGGCGGAAATAGGCGGGGTGGTGGTACCTACCCGTGCGGTCTCCCAAGAGGTCCTACCGCCAGTGAAGATGTTTCAATTTACTGATTTATGAAAAATACGAAGGTCACGTAATGCAATGAAAACAACAGGAACAACTATACCAAGATTCATCACAATCGAATTAATTGTATCGGAGCGCATACAGGACAAACATATAAACATTCATCATTTAATAATATATAAATTAAAACACCGTTTCCACGCTCGATTTTCTCCTGTACCTATAATAGGAACTAAAACCATACATTGAAGACAATTACAATCATATTCAGAATCCGGATTCAGAATATCATTTGATGACATTGGCTCTACTGCGATCCGACCTCATGGTAAGGGAATCAGGATCCGTTACCACTACACCAACAAGCTTGTGATAGACGAATTATTTAAAACTACACGTGCTCTATAAAGAATGAAAAAATCCCGTATTTATTAAGGAGATATGTGATTTTACATGATTAAAAACATGATTGCGTAAGAAACACAGATGTTTGAGACATCCAAATTATCACATTCATAAATGAGCATGCTGGGTTTTAAATGAGATCATCTTTCAATTTGCTTCCACGGTCATACGAAGCGATAAGATAAGGGGTCACCCACACAATTTCTGAGCCAATTTTTATCTGTATGCTTTATGAAAATAAACTTGGATATCGGAACTTTAATTCGGTCATCTCAGAAGTGTTCATTTTTATTTAATTTTATTAAGAGGGAATCGCCGGACTTCCGTCTACGCGTCGGTGGACGTTAATATGTCGAAGTTAAAGAGACTAAATCCTCTGGCGCTTAACAACCTACGTCCGAGCCTCAAGCACTATGACACGTATCGTGCCGAGCGCATGTCTCCCGGCAATATCAAGTACATATATCCTTACAAGAATTGGTACCAGCCTACGAGATATAAAATTTAATAGTACGAGAGCACCGGGCGTCTTTCGAACCAAGAGAACAAACTAAATCATTTTCCGGCACACCTTACCACATTCAAGGACTGAAAAATACACTTCTGCGCAAATAGTGAAACTAATAAACAGTCGGCATGAATCGTGCCTCTTACTAACTTTGATTTTATGAGAATACATACGACAATAAAAATCATAAATAAAATTACGCAACTACACATTTAGAAAACTAAATGTATTTATCTTGAATGCTTTCACTTCAAACAAAACGTTGACTGGACCGCGTAGTATGTATGTATAAATAAATATGAAAAAAACCGGCTATCGCACCCAAATGTTCGTAATGCGTGCTATAAAATTCCTCATTAATTTAAAAAAAAAATTAATTTACTAACAATTACGCCACGTTAACTAGTCCCGTGATAAGTTCGTAAAGAACTTGTGTTACAGGTACCAGATAACGGAAATAAATGTAAGATTTTGATTATACACATACATATATTTAATAAACATCCATAACCCTGGAAAAGACATTTATATTTATCATACAAATATCTTCTCTTGGCGGTATTCGAACCCGCAACCGCCTTGTGTAGTGACCATGTCACTTACCACTACACCAGACGGCCGTTTTATAGTTTTAGGCCGTTGCTTTAATAGTTTATTTTACACGTCATTTTTATACAGTTTCACAAAGAGAAGGCTTTTTTTTATGCAGCAATGTAGTGTAAAAACAGCTTGCTAACTTGCTAGTTTGACAGATGAGAAGACAACAGCCGTGTATCCCAAGTCAGAGACGTTTTAATCTCCCAACTGGTTACTCCTACTACGACTTTACCAATGCGTTAAGTAGTAGTACTTTATATTTGGATATATTTATGCAATTGTATATTAGAACTCATGACTCAAGATGGGCCGTGAGCTAGTCTTGATACCTATTAACCTAACCTAACCTTGATGTACATTTAGTACCTTTTTTTACGTCTTCTACTCTATGGATTGGTCATTAGAAACTAATGATAACTAAAGGGGACAAGGATCGTATACCCCTCTCATTAAATAGCCGAATTTATATATATGTAAATGAAGCTCTCTCAGTATATTTAAAGTTTCCGCGGCTTAGCTTCGACTATCATAATAGTATTATGTATAGTGGCAGCTATGTTCAGTCTATAATTAGAAAAAAAAAACAAAATGTGTGCAATTCACACGTGGTAGAAGTGAAACCTTCCAAAATTAAAATACCATTATCCTAAACGTCTTAAGTATATATAAAATTTTGTCATTAGTAAATAATTGTAAGGTAGCGCCCTCTGTGAATTGATATTTTAATTTCACGTATAATCCTAAATTAAAATTCACTACAAGAGCTTTCATACACACGTTAGTATTAAAAAATCACAGATGGAGCTGTATTAAATAGTATATATATTTCTGTCTCATTCTTTGCTGGCTTCATCCTACACATTTTTGTATTTGTGTCTCTTACCTGTCGTTTTTTCCGTTGCATCCGGTTTGAAATCACAACGATTCTAAAGAAGTTTTCACTTCAAAATGCTCTCTGGTTTTGTACATTCAAAAAGATAACGTGCTTTCTTAAATAATAAACATTTAAATTTTAAAAGATTAGTTATTGAAGCAATAGCTTCTTACAATGTTGTTTCTCTTTGCAGGTTCGTAAATAATTAAAATAATTGTAAGTGTAGAAGTAAGTTAATAAAATAAATAACTCTTTGCAGAGCAACAACTTGTTTTTTTTTTTTGTTTCAATAAACAATACCTTACATACGTACATATACGAGTATAAGGCAAGCCGCGATCATTTATATCATCCTCCGATTTGACTTCTGCACATTGTCGAAAGAAGGTGAACGCCACATTATATGCGATTTTAGCCATAGAGGACGCACAATATGTTCAAGGATATGAAACATATGGATATATACATATATGTGTGTGTGAGTGTGTGTGTGTTTGTGAATGAAGATATGAGAGAGAGAGAGAGGAGTGTTGAGCTGACGGCTGATAGAAGAGAATGGAAGAGAAAAAAATTCTGTGCCGAACCCACCTAGTGGGATATGGTAAAGAAAAAGAAGAATATGAAACGGAATCTTATAACAAACTGGTGCCACTGAATGACAATGTAAAATTCTCTGACATGAATAATAATATACAATATGAAATGTACAATGTCGACTGTAATTGGTGGGATAAAAGAGAGCACACGTCGTAAATGTTTAATATTCGAATCTTATTTATGTATCAATTATTAACGACCATCTTTTATTCTTATATTAAAATTTGCATGAAGTTACAAATGCATTTAATTTTAAATAACATTAAAACCAATATTATTACCATGTATTACACACGAATTTGTTTATACTGTTAAACATCTGTATTCATAATGTAGGTACCTCTACACTGGAAGAAATGAAATTAAAAATATTCATGGCAACGTGCCAACTAAAGTATTCCATGCTAGAACTGTAAACTAAAACTTCATAATTAGCACAGAATATATAACTATTTCATAGGAAATAACTTTTGATAACTTGCGACATTAAATTCAAGGTTCATTTTGTATCGACGGCTGTTCTATCCGTCATAAATGCATAAATGCATATTGAAGAAGCGATTGGAAAAGGAAAGCCATGGATAAAGTGCTTTGGAAGAAGCTGGAGGAGGCCTTTACCCGAGAAGGGGTTCCGATCAATGGTACAGAAGAAAGTAACGTTAGCGAATAAAAGAAAATTAAAGAAATTCTATTCTACCCTGGTATATTTAGATATTAAATCGCATGTAACGATATCATTATGGATTAGAAATAAACGGGCTTTATTATTATTATTATTAAATGCATATTGCCATTATTTTACTGGTGGTAGAACCTCTTGTGAGTCCGCGCGGGTAGGTACCACCGCCCTGCCTATTTCTGCCGTGAAGCAGTAATGCGTTTCGGTTTGAAGGGTGGGGGGCAGCCGTTGTAACTATACTGAGATCTTAGAAATTATATCTCAAGGTGGGTGGCGCATTTACGTTGTAGATGTCCATGGGCTACAGTAACCACTTAACACCAGGTGGGCTGTGAGCTCGTCCATCCATCTAAGCAATAAAAAAAAGGCGCTAGAAAACATGTATTATTATTAGTATTTCTAGTATCTCTACAAGTGCGAGGTGCATACAATACTCGCTAACATTAATAATTCTGCAAATTTATACATACTTTTTTATAGTTAAGGTAGAACCATTTTTTTTCGGAAATAGTCAACGTGTAACATTTCATGAAGATCAGTTGAGTAGTCAAAAATGGATATGTCAAAAAGTGGAAAAAAAAAGAAGACGTCGTGGCCTAACGGATAAAGAACCCTGGTATCGTGTGAAGCGACTGTACCGGTGTTCGAATCCCGCAGACAGGTGAATGAAATAAGTACTTAATAGATGCTCACGAATGACTTTCACGATGAAGGAATAACAATTAATTAGTAGGGTGGTAGGGCGTATTATGAGCCCGCATGAGTAATAAGTTTCAGTTTGAGTTGCGGTGGGACAGCCGTAAAATTGAGATTTAGACCTCATGTCTCAAGATAGGTGACGGCACATACGTTGATGTCGTCTACGGGCTCCGGTAAACACTTAAATCAAATTTGAACTAAGTTTTATTAATCGTTAGTTTAAACTTTGATATTGTGGGCCTAAAACTAGTTAGTACATATTGCCAGATAGTGTAACGTAATTCTGCCCAATACTAGCATATTGTTATTTGATTATTGTACAAATATTGACAAGCATCGATGGAAACTTATTAGCGCATTCGTGCGATACATATGAGTCGTCTATTATCAAAGGTGGCAATCTGTGCATTTGGACAAAAAAAAAAATATTGATATNCAAAAAAAAAAAAAAAAAAAAAAAAAAAAAAAAAAAAAAAAAAAAAAAAAAAAAAAAAAAATACAAATATCTTCCCTTGGCGGGATTCGAACCCGCGACCTCCTTGTGTAGTGACCATGTTGTCACTTACCACTACACCAGACGGCCGTTAATGCATATTGCCAGGCGGTAGAAAACATGTACATATTAGTATTTCTAGTATCTGGTGCATACTATACTCACTAACATTAATAATTCCGCAAATTTATACATACTTTTTTAAAGTTAAGGTAGAACAATTTTTTTCGGGAATAGTCAACGTGTAACATTTCATGAAGATCAGTTCAGTAGTTAAGATGTCAAAAAGTGAAAAAAAAAAACAAAGAAGACGTCGTGGCCTAACGGATAAAGAACCCTGGTATCGTGTGAAGCGACTGGACCGGTGTTCGAATCCCGCAGACAGGTATTTTTTTTTTCGAATGAAATACGTACTTAATAGGTGCTCACGAATGACTTTCACGATGAAGGAATAACAATTAATTAGTGGCGGTAGGTAGGGCGTAATTCAGTTTGAGCTGCGGCGGGGCAACCGTTGTACCGTAAAACTGAGATTTAGACCTCATGTCTCAAAATAGGTGGCGGCACATACGTTGATATCGTCTACGGGCTCCGGTAAACACTTAAATTATATCTGAACTAAGTTTTATTAATCGTTAGTTTAAACTTTGATATTGTGGGCCTAAAACTAGTTAGTACATATTGCCAGATAGTGTAGCATAATTCTGCCCAATACTAACATATTGTTATTCGATTATTGTACAAATATTGACAAGCATCGATGGAAACTTATTAGCGCATTCGTGCGATACATATGAGTCGTCTATTATCAAAGGTGGCCATCTGTGCATTTGGACAAAAAAAAAATATTGATATGTCAATACAGATTGATTTGAATATAATCGTCTCCTTCAAAGAATACGGTTCAAAACCTGCATTAAATAAAGGTTAATACTTAACCTGTTATTTATCTAAGATGTCGGTCAGAAGAGTTTTGTGACTGCCAATGGAATACAAAGTCAATAATTCGTTTTTCTGATTTACCAATAATTGTCCAAAAGTCACATTGTCGGCTTTGATAATAGTCGACTCATATACAGTACTACATTTATAAATCACGACATACGTGTATGGTTTGAACTTTGAACACCGGTGGTAGGACCTCTTGTGAGTCCGCGCGGGTAGGTACCACCACCCTGCCGTGAAGCAGTAATGCGTTTCGGTTTGAAGGGTGGGGCAGCCGTTGTAACTATACTTGAGACCTTAGAACTCATATCTCAAAGTGGGTGGCGGCATTTACATCGTAGATGTCTGTGGGCTCCAGTAACCACTTAACACCAGGTGGGCTGTGAGCTCGTCCGCCCATCTAAGCAATAAAAAAAACATGAATATATTGTATCTGATTCAAATTGAAACTCATATTATTTAGTCGCGGCGGAAATAGGCAGAGCGTAATTAACTAAGGTGTTCTGATATAAGTACTAGCGCTAGTTAGAAAGCATGCTACGTAGTCACTTTCGCGTAATAATTTTTAACTATTTTTTTTATTACTCGCTCGCCACTTCTTTATTTGATAGTACATGAGAAAACTTCCTTATAATGCCAACAACTGCATAATTTTTCAAATGAATCATATAAAAATTTAACATAAATGCATGGACATGGAGCACGACAGAAATAAAATCACAAAAAAACATTTCTACATATTACAGGAATACGTGCTCATTCGTAAATAGTACTAATCGCCCACCATTGGGCGTATACATAAATAGCTGTTGCGATTCGTGAAACGAAAAAAACAACCATAGATTAAAAAATCCACAAGTCTATACGACACGCGTCATCATAACATTATGGAAAGGCCTTCGGGCCAGAAGTAATCCTTCGACCATTAAAGGAAAAAAACAAAAAAAAAACAATATTATTTTCAGCTTATCTTAAGGAAGAATAAAGTATTTATAAAACTTACAGCGAAATCTATAAATTCGTATACCGAACAATGAACAAGTCGTAGGGTATTTTTAGACAGAATACAGGCCGGTTTCGATGGAAATATAAACCGCAAAACTTTATAATAATGAAACTTATTAGTGAAAAACGAGAAAATGTAAAAGTGAATCCAGAACGTTCTATTCGTTTCTAATTCACCCAAGATGGCGGGGCATTGAGAGATGCCCACGTTGTCTTTTTACACTGTCTGGNCCGAACAATGAACAAGTCGTAGGGTATTTTTAGACAGAATACAGGCCGGTTTCGATGGAAATATAAACCGCAAAACTTTATAATAATGAAACTTATTAGTGAAAAACGAGAAAATGTAAAAGTGAATCCAGAACGTTCTATTCGTTTCTAATTCACCCAAGATGGCGGGGCATTGAGAGATGCCCACGTTGTCTTTTTACACTGTCTGGAACTAATAATAATATACACTGACTGACCTTTCTTATCCGCCAGCGGTGTCGGATGCCATTCCGGAACGTTCGATAGGATCGCTTCGACCGCCTGCGAAATGCAATAAAACGTCATTAAAATTCCTGTACAGTGGAGAATGAATGAATGTGGAGAACGCTTTGGATGTCGTAATTGAAACAAAGATAGTATTTTATTCTATCGACTATATTATGTTGGCAGGATGAGTAATTATTATTGATAAACTAAAAAGGGAGTGATCAAATTTAATAACATTATGCACCTTGAGAATATTTGAGACTTAAAAATATTCGATTTTAATATAAATGAAAAAAAAGTTGATCTATGGTGATACTCTTGAATCTTTATCCTATCCTATGAAATCCTCAGTAAGTCGAAAAAAATATATCATTCTCTTCCACTAAACGCCCAAATACTCGATATCTCGAATTGTTTAGATTTTGTAACCCGAACAAAATGTTATTTCCCTGTGAAGGCAATTTAGTACATTATTTAGTAATTTAGTACTTCGCTTCGCTTCGCGAATGAATCTACTACCGGATCGGAATTGCGACCCGCTGAGAAGATCCGGCGAGAAACTCAGCGGACTGATGTTTAAGGTTCGGTTGCACGTCGAGCTCTTTTCCGTGTTCAACGAGTACGGGTACCCCTACCCTACTCCTAGTATTAGAGTTAAAGGCGCCTAATGCAAGGGTTATTGGATCTGATGGATCCGTAAGGACGTGACCAATTAAACTACTTCGCGGGGAGAAGGTGTCTATCTACCCGCGTGGGCTTACAATATGGCCTACCACCACTAAAACAATAAAGTTTCCGCTCCAACGGCCCGAGTAATCGAGAGAGTTGCTCACTCGTAACAAACGTCAAACACTATTAATGTATCTGTAGGTATACGACAAAGGTAAGATCTTCCACCGAGCGGGTGATATTGCTCGGTAGACCGACGGTCCAAATGTTGTATGATGGCTACCCGCCACATATCTATCTACACATATGTACTTGATAAACAAAATGAACCGAAGATTCCGGGCAATCAATAAATATACGACACAAATGATGCATTTGTCAATTCGTACGCGGTTGCGATAAATTGAACACATATTGAACATCATTGTGGCAAATAACAATTCAGTTCAATTTTTTTGTATTAATGAAGCTGTCGTGTGAACAGGGCGCATGTCTCAATTTTGTGAATGAGCAAAAATCGCCCTTTTGGTCTTATGCGGAAAAGTTGAAATGCATTTATCGATATGTGAAGCAAGCGATCTTTCGAATCACAATAATCATAATCGTTACTGATTTCTGTAACAATCTTCAATGAGATGTTAATAAAATTGTGCGCAAGAGAGTAAACAACACACTTTTTTTTAATGCTTAGATAGGTGGACGATCTCACAGCCCACCTGGTGTTAAGTGGTTACTAGAGCCCATAGACAACTACAATGTAAATACCGCCACCCACCTTGAGATATGAATTCAAGTCTCAATATAGTTACAACGGCTGCCCCACCCTTCAAACCGAAACGCATTACTGGTTCACGGCAGAAATAGGTGGAGTGGTGGTACCTACCCGTGCGGACTCACGGGAGGTTCTACCACCAGTCATTACGCAAATCATAATTTTGCGGGTTTGATTTTCTCTACACAATGTTATTCTTTCACCGCGGAAGTCAATCGTGAACATTTGTTAAGTACGTTGTATTTCATTAGAAAAATTGGTACGATGCTAGTAGATACGAATGGACCGGATGTCTTATCTTTTAGGCCACGACGACTTCAAATTCTCCTACGTACAAGACGAATCGATTTTTATCTAAATTATAATTAAATATTAATGTAACAAACAGCAAAAGACAAATCCCACACGTCCATGAATACTCACGTTAATTTAATGACTTGAATAAATTTTTAGGGGGGTCTTAAAAATAACGCATTGTAAAATACGTTTCTAAAGTAACAAAAAATTAGTAGTTGAATGTAATACATANAAATTCTCCTACGTACAAGACGAATCGATTTTTATCTAAATTATAATTAAATATTAATGTAACAAACAGCAAAAGACAAATCCCACACGTCCATGAATACTCACGTTAATTTAATGACTTGAATAAATTTTTAGGGGGGTCTTAAAAATAACGCATTGTAAAATACGTTTCTAAAGTAACAAAAAATTAGTAGTTGAATATAATACATATATAAACTGTTTTTTCATAACTCGACGAGTGCCACAAGCATTAATTTCTTTGTTTTACGAAGGTTTTTTTTTCATATATTTCTTGCTGCGTTGACTCGATAAGGAAAATAGTTCAAGGATACAAACAGATGTCAGTGTCTTGAAAATTAGAATTTCGAATTGACATAGTAGGAAAAATTTGTTAAATGAGTTTGCAAGATGATTGGCTGATGCTGCTTGCAACTCAGACCGTAATAGGAATAACCGGTCACCGTCCTACTACGAATGAACTACTCCAAAGAGAACTAACCCATAGACACAGCCCACTGTGTTTCCCGCCAGATCCTCTCAGCGAATCGCGATTCCGATCCGGTCGTAGAAACTGCGAAGCACAGCTTTTACTAGGGCTAGTGTTAGCAATTCTCTTAGGTTGAACCCGTGAGCTCATATTTTTTTTATTACTTAGATAGGTGGACGAGCTCACAGCTCACCTGGCGTTAAGTGGTTACTGGAGCCCATAGACATCCACAACGTAAATGCGCCACCCACCTTGAGATATAAGTTATAAGATCTCAAGTATAGTTACAACGGCTGCCCCACCCTTCAAATCTAACAGTCTGGGCGTATCTGGAATAGCCCCTTAGGTTAACAGCGAATAACTAGGGGAAAAACAGGAATACCATCACTTAAATTAAGAACTGAAATAACAGTGCATTATAATCACGATCTACCCTCAGGGACGTCTTAAACTAAGATGGGGCCCTTGGGCATCCAAGAATTTGAGGCCCTTTTGGAAAGTAAAAAAAGCGAACTATAATAAAAAAAAAATACTGAGTATGAGACCATTTATTATAGGTAATCAAATACAGTATGATATAATATGTCATTAATGATATTAGAATGCTGCTGGTTTTTTGGTTACGATTTCGATAACGGTTTCTTTCGGGATTTCTGTTGAGCAAAATCTTCTATTACAGGCATAGTATATGCCTTGTATTAAATACTAATAAGTAATACCTTCTGATTACTGATTTGTGAAAAAAGTGTAATGTGCCCACAAAAATGTTTTGAGAAAAAACGTGTGAGAGAAATTGTCGGTCTTTCGGGGCCCCTTGAGAATGGGAGCCCTGGGCACGGGCCCCGTGTGCCCTTATGGTAAAGACGGTATTGCCTACCCTAGATTTGAAACGTTTAAATGTTTTTATAGGTAATGCTTACGTATATATACTCGTATAAGTATAGGTAATGCTGTTATGTTATAATTGTTTGTTGAAAATATAGGAACACGAGAATCACTTGCTCCATTTTATTGCATAGTTGCACTATCGTATTGTTTACGCTGCAGGTCCACGTTCGGTTCAAGGCATGGCCGATAACGAAGCGATTAGAATATTATGCAAAACAAATTCATTAAACTAGGTGAACTGATAGATTTACATCAGTTCTGTATTAGAAACTATTATTGTTATTATATAATAGAACATTTGTTATTTGATGGGACATACATTTCCGAACAGTTATTTCGATATCGGCAAAGATTTAAACGTTAAGTTGTAGGGGCAAAGTTGTTTTTTTTATTTTATAGCTTAGATGGGTGGACGAGCTCACAGCCCACCTGGTGTTAAGTGGTTACTGGAGCCCATAGACATCCACAACGTAAATGCGCCACCCACCTTGAGATATAAGTTCTAAGGTCTCAAGTATAGTTACAACAGCTGCCCCACCCTTCAAACCGAAACGCATTACTGCTTCACGGCAGAAATGGGCAGGGCGGCGGTACCCACCCGCGCGGACTCACAAGAGGTCCTACCACCAGTATACATAATTACTTACTTACTAAAATTATTCATACAATACATAACGTAAACACCAAATGACAAATAATGACATCGTTTTGGAATAGAGAAACATCACTACTGACTCATATGTGTTTTCAATAAATATTAAAATTATATCGAGTAATGGTACTATTAATATATTATTAACCTTGAGTTTGAACCGTCGATAGATCGACTCTATTCATGCGTATAAAGTGCGGAGCGTCGGAATAGCGACGATTTGCGCAGTTTAGGTTTCTAGCTGTACGGGCAGTCTTAGCGCGAGCATTCATTTTCAAAAGTTATTAACATTTGAAAATAACCACATAAAATTATTTAGTTGTGAATTTAGCATAGAATTTTTTAATAATTTTTTTATTTCAACTTTTTTACATGGCACTTTTTTCGAAAATCCTTTAGCAATTTGTGCAAAACATGTGAATATAAATAAGCTCAGCTCTGAAAGAGTAGTTCGTTAGTAGGGTAAGTTCTTCTGAAAGGCAAAATCACAGTACCTCGTTTTAACCGTGAAGCATATATACGTATGTAAATATCAGTAGACAGCAATTTTAGTTTCGTAGGCAATAAGGAGAACGCAAAAGATTATCTATATACAAACGCTCTATCATTGTGATTTATGACGGACCGACCCGGCCAAGTTGCGGTGCGATAACTGACCAGGCGCGTTACGATAAAATTATCGATTTTTGAAAAACGAACCGGATAGTATGTAAAATTAAAAAAATAACGGGATAATCTCTCGAAATAGGATTTTAAGATGCACAATTTTTTTTTTGCTCGTTTAAATGAGCAGAGGATCCCAAGGTTGGTCAAAATTCGACACCAGAATGTAATGCAAACAACCCACTTAGATTCGCGCCGATTTTTTTCAGTGGGTCGCGATTGCGATCCGTAATTAGATTCAGCGAACCATTGATCTTGCTAGGGCAGCTCTTAGCAAAATCTCTCAGGCTGAGGTCCTAGAACTCGTTTACCAGTTCGATGAAAACAGAAAAACTAAACTCGTGGCTATTAGTAAATAGATAGAAAAAACTATATGCAACTATCGGTCAATACAA